AGTTTGCTGACTACTTTCTCGGGCGATCATGATGTTTCTCTTATAAAACTGCTATTTTTATTAATTAGTCTCGAAAAGCTTCCGGTGAAGTCAATTTTTAAGGTTCTACCTTTGTCTTTGAATAAAAAATCTCTCATCTTTGTGTTCGGAAGTAACAAAAAAATGTACCGCACTCCTATTGTTATATAGAACAATAGAGGAATGTTGCTTCGGAAAACGTAGGAGACTTTTCAGGCGTTGGAATTATTTTGAGAAACAAATTAATTGACTGAAAACTGCTTAGCAGTATTATGAGGCAATTTCCATTGTTATTTTCCTGTAGTAACATCTTCGAGTTTTCCAAAGCTTTGTTCATAGTATTTCACAAACTGATGTTACATCTTGATTTTATTGAAAATATTGTTGGAGATTATGTGAATTTTCCATTGTTTCCGAGCAGATAGGGAAACCGATAAGGAGAAAAAACTGAAACTTCAGCTTTGTTTATTCAGAATTTGTGATCCAAAATTTAAAGATTTTTGTTAGCGGTTCCATTCATTCTCTTTAGAAAAAAGGCGTGTGATCATTACGTTTTTGTGTTGGTGATTTCATTTCAGTATCTAATGTCGTTGAACACTTCATATTCTTGCTGAAGTACATTCGTGAGAGATCCGTTAGAAACCGGTGGATGTTTGAGATAATATTTCGCTTTTACTTCTTTGTGACATCATATTGAAATCAAAGGATAACACAAAAAGAGAAGAACACATTTTAATATGTTCGTTAATCTTTTGTATTTTGTAGCATTTGCACTTTTGACGATCAAGTCAATCCTCCTAGGAATATAGTTCTAGCCAAGTGATCTTCACTGAAGTTTTTCAAGAATATCAATGTGAAACATTTTTTGATCAAAGTTATTTAATCGAGTAATGAAGCAAATACAAACAAAGGCGTATTCTGAACAGTATTAATGTGAAATAACATGCAGTCTGGTTGCACAGTTTTGACATATATACGTAACTGT